TTGCGATATTGTTCTTGAACTGAATTTTATGGTTTAAGTGCGAAGAACATGATATTTAATAAATAAAGGTAACACACAAAATGTTAAAAAAACGCCCCCTTGGGCGTAATTTAAAATCTGAAACCTTTCAAATTTTTTCCTGTTTTCTTTATTATTTTATTTATTAAAATAATTAAATAATTTCAGTTTAAAGTAATTAATTAAAATTAAATAAATTGTAGAGATAAAATTTAATAAGCGATTTTTAATATAATTTTATTGCTAAAAAATAAAATTTTCGAGATCATATTTCTACCGAAATTGTTGTTCAGTTACATAAAAGAAGTGTTGAAAGCTTCAGTTAGTCTGCTACAGATTTACGCTTGCGCAACTTTTCCTTCCCTGATTGGCTGCGGCTTAAACCCTGTTGAACAAGTGTGAATGGATTTAATGACTTTTCGGCTTCATTCAGTCAGCGGTTTTTGTCATATAAAGCTTTGTGATTTAAGGCATAAAAATCATTAAGTCCATTCACACCTGTTTAGCAGGGTTTAAGTAGCAGCCAGTCACGGAAGGGAAGGTTGCACTTGCGTAAATGTGTAGATGATACAGGAAAATCATCGACGGGTGTTTGCTTCGCTGAGATTGGTTCTTCTTATACCAACTTGGCAGAAAGTTGAAAAGTTAGAACTTTTAGACAAAATCCGTAAACATAGTTTTTGGACGTAGGAAGGTATTATTGCTTAACAACAAAGCTCGGCTCAAACCTGTACTTTAAAAGTCACTTTGTAAACCAATATGTCACAAAGTCTAATGTTGACAAAACTGTCGTCTGATTAAAGCCTAAAAGCTTGCAAACTTTTTTGACTCGGAGCAAGTTTTTTGTGTTTGTTTGTATTTATAAATGTAGTAATTAAAACACGTATGTAGAACATTAATCACTGTTGCTATTCACTAATAAATATCGTTTTCAGGAACAGATGGGGCTGTTCTAACTGCCGCTGTCAATTTGCAGAAAGCTTACTGCCACCTTTTTACAAATTTCCCCTTGTTCGCCAAGTCACATGGCACCTGTATGAAGTTCAGCTTTTATCACAAAGAATATAACGTTCATTAAGATGACGGAATGTCCATATGAAAGGTGCTGGTACCTTTAAGACAGGTTGTAATTATGAAATCGTCGGAGTGCTGGGACATCAAAATTCTCTGCCTTTATTATGATGTGGAGTAAAAAATTAAAACCGACAATTAATTTCTGAGGAGCTAACGATGACGGGGTTAAGATGAGGGATTTAATATGCATATCATTATTTTAGTTTGCGTTTCTGTCTTCTTTCAATGGGTTTATTGTTTCTTGCTGCATGCTCTTGCAATTATGATTAATACAATCAAAAGTCGTTAATTCGGACACCCATAATCCGGAATAATCTATAATCCGGACCTAAGAGCTAAAAACTTTGTGCGCATGCGCCGCATTGACACATGCGCATAGGCGTTTACGCGTGCGTGCAAGACACCTTTTACCACTGCGCATATGCGTGTGCGCAATAGCAGAATACTTTTTCGCGTGCGCGTTTTATGTATAACGGACGGTATAAGCTAAAGTTATCTAATTATCTATTTCAGTTAATGTTGATGATTGCGTTGTTCCTTAATCTTCGAGTTGGATCCGGCTTATTATTTTTTGCAGACTGTAAGAGCAATTTTATAAAAGTAAACTTGAACTTTCGATTATGTCAAATAGAATTTCCGATTCTGGAGCTCCCAAAGGATCGTACAAAACGAAAGTATGTTTCGATGTCCATCAAACAAAAAGTGGAATTGCTGCAAAAAATGGATAAAGACATGAAGAATGTGACAGAGAGGTTAGTGAAAACGAAAAAATTTCGATTGACAAGTTAGTCGGTATTCTCGGCACAACAATTAACGGGACTTGAAACAGCGGAACTTTGGAACTGAACAAGAACTTGTGTCTGTTTATAGAATTAAAGAGAAAGTATTATCACATAAAACGAAGCAACTTAAAACAACTTACATTGAAAGAAATGTTTAATAAAGTAAACAAATAAATATTAAGCTTTTTTTTTTTTTTTTTTTTTTGTAAATTTTGATACCCTTTAGATTATAATTGTTCTTTATTTCATAAATTAAGGTTTCATATTTTTAATTTTAGAATTTCTGCATGCCATCTTACGAGATTTAAACTGATGATCTATAATCCGGAATCGCCGAAGTCCCGATGAGTCCGAATTAACGACTTTTGACTGTATTTCATTTACTTTTAAACCATCTATATTAGTGGCAAGGTGGCGTGATTGTCAACAGCATCTCGGAAAATTTTCTGAATTCCTGATAGCCCCATTTGCCTTTACTTTTGTTGTAGTGCTACTATTGTTATTCACTCGTAAATAATTATGTAAATTAAAATAATCCCTCAAAATAATCTGATTATCCTTTCTCTAAATTGCATGTATTCCAATATAAGAAGCTATTTCTTAAGCCAGGGGTTCTTAACCCTGTGCCTGTGGGCGCCAATATGCGCGCGAAGCTATATACTATATTAATATCAAACGTGGCCAACCCGAGGTCCAAAAGTCGCATTAAATGCAACTATTTTGAATTTTTGTTATCTTTTTAATGTAGGGTATTGTTTATGATGCTTATGATTGCAATAAAATAAAGAAATATTAAGAATCGTTATATATATATATATATATTACTGCTGATGCCAGCATTTCCTGTTTCTCAGATGACCCAGATGGGGAATAAGGTTAAGAACCCCCGTCTTAAGCTACTAAGCAGTGACATTTTGCCCCCATTTCTGTTAGACAGCCCATCTATTTCTATAAGCTGCTTTGAAAATCGTTCTTTTTAGAAAGCCAAATGTACAATAAGTCGTTTGTGAAACATCCCCAGATGAAAAAACATAATTAAAAATTGTAGATTTATTTATTTATTTTATTGGTAGCTTTATCATGATGGCGTTTTCACCGACGGCTCTTTGCATAAAAGGGTAGAATTGTTTCTTTAAGTATGGACAAAAGCATTATTTTGATAACACAAATGATTTGTTATATTTATTACGTTTCTCAGCCTTTAATTTCGCTTTAAATACAAAACTGAAAAACTAAATTCAGACATAGACTTTGTGTTTGGAATACACACACTTTTGCAAAAAAATCGAAGCACCATGAAGGATGTGGTTGTTTTTGATTAAATTGAACTGTCATACACAGATAATCAAATGATTAAAAAATCAAGGTCATAGTACCTGTCCACGGCTCACAGTCACACACAGTGAGTGTTCAAATTAGTAGTTGGTCGAAATGCCCTGGCGGCAATGCATGCTTGAATTCGTTGAGGCAAGGAGTGGTAGAGGTTCCTAATGTCATCCTGTGACACATTCTGCCAGGCATTCATCAGTTGTTGTTCCAGATCTGCGATACTTTGTGGTGCCCAAATTTGGCAGCCTTCTATGTCCCAAACATGCTCGATTGGTGAAAGGTGACCTTGCTGGCCAAGGAAGAGTATCAACCGCACGGAGATATACGAGCGGTATGTGGTCTGGCATTATCTTGTTGGAAAGTGCCCTCAGGATGACATGCCATGAAGGGTAACGCAACTAGCCGCAGGATGGTATCAACATATCGTTCAGCTGTTAAAGATGTACAGAAGATGACCTGCTGGCATAAGGAATAGTGCCCCACAGCATCACACCAGGGGTTATGGCTGTATGCCTTTGTAAAACAAAGGCTGATTGGGCCTTCTGGCCCCGTCCTCTCCAGACACAAACTTGGTGGTCATCTGCTTCAAGAGTGAAGCAGGATTCATCGCTGAACACTATACAATGCCAGTCTGATGGCAGCCATGAGGATCGGCTGCGACACCACTACATACAACTCTTCTGATGTTGTGGGGTCAAAGGCAAACGTCTTAAAGGCCTCTGTGAACGTAATCCCTCCTCAGAAAAGTGCCGTGAGATGGTGAACGGTACCACGGGAGGTATAGACGTGGCTGTAGTGCGCTGAATAGTCGACAAGCATACCGTTGGGCGGTTCGGGCCTGGCCAACAATCATCCGATCTTGCGTGGCATTTGTGCTCTTTGGCCTTCCAGAGCCTTCATTTCATCGGCAATTTCCTTGTAGCAACCATTACTGTCAACATCTGTGCACAGCAGTGTCTGTACACTGCAGGCGGCGGCCTATTGTTTGGTATGACAACCCAGCTTCACGCAGCCCTACAATGCGACAACGTTCGAAGCCGTCTGTAAGGTCTTCAATATCGAAGTAATGGCATCTTTAGTTGCTTCTTTACAGAATTACAATGGCAGCAACAAAAAAAGATAAATTTTCCGCCTCTGTTTCTAGTTTTATACTTAGCGAACTGCGCACTAGAAATGCGCTCTATGATCGCAATTCTTGTTCATTTACCTTGAAACTTTGATAGTTTGCATTGTCGATCAAGATGTTTTTGCATACTAAATTTTGTCACAATCACAAAAGTCCTTGGTGTTTCAATGTTTTTTACAAAAGAGTGTATGTTAAATGTACACAACTTTTTCATATGTTTTTTTTTCTTGCTTTTTTCTTTAAAAACAATCTTTGGCGGTTTTTCCCTTTATTAGGAATATTATTATTTACTATGCATTTAAAAATATTATCCATAATTTATCTCTATGTTTTTAAAATACAAAATAAGGATACTACTATTTGGAAGAAGAAAAGGCATAACCTTTAATCTGAAACAGCTTACAAAGTTCCGTTTTCGAATCAGATGATATTTAATCACATCAGAAATTGATTTAGATGCAGAATGCTAAAAATTTTTGCCAAATAATATCTTAGAAACATTTCAGAATCTTTTCCCCAAAATTATTGTAAAAGCTAATTTCCCAAATTATTATGAGTAGGTGTAACATATAAGTAGCTAAGTAAACTTAACAACGTGTAAGTAGTAAACATTGTGCTTTTGAATCCAGTTTTATTCAATAATTTCAAATTCAGATGTATTCATTCTGTAGGTGGTGGATCTCCCGTGAAATCTGTAGAGCCTACAAAAGGATCCCCAAAGAAAAGAAAAATGTTAAGATTTACTGGTATAATTTTCTATTGCATCTTATCTTCATATTCTTGCTTTTATTCTTATAATGTATACTTTATTTTAAACTGATCTTCTGGTTTGTTTAAAAAAATTAAATGATTGATATAAATAATCCTTTTTTTCAAACATTTTTCTTTAATACATACATTTCATGAAATTTAAATCACAATGTATGCTACACTTAAGTAATCCTTTGATATTATGGAATTTTATTTTACTTCAGTATGCATTGAATTAATTTGATTACTTTACCCCTAAAAGTATGAACTCGTGTGTAAAAGTAATTTCAATGGTTAGTTTAAATTGATGGAACTCATAATTTTCAAAGGCCCACCAACGGCCGAGCGGTAAAGTCGCTGAACACTGGTAGTTCGGTCCGAGGTTTGAATCCCGCGAACGGGCTGGCTGCATGGGTGTTTTTGTGGTTTTCCCCATGTGTAACATGTATACGAGCCAGTTACCCTTAGAAAGTCCTCCACGAAGGCATCCCTCCTCTTAGGCAGATAGCCCTCGAGGCTTTGCCGTAATTAAATAACCTAACCTATCATAATTTTCAAAACTTAACCTTACTTTCATTTTATTTATTGATTTTGTTTTGGAAATAATATTGGGGGAGGTCATATATTACTTACCTAAAAACGTTTATATTAAGTTCTTTTGCATTTTACATATGCAATTAGAAGAGGCAAAGCTTGTGTTGGCTATTTGCCTTATTCTTTACTCTCTCTCTCTCTTTTGTTAACGGAATTTAAAATATTATGGAAATACTTGCTTTACTTATGTTGTAAATCGCAGATCCGTTAAAAATTACTAATCTAATTTAAAATGTTTTTATTTATTGATTGATGGTTATTTGTATTTTACATTATATTTAATTATCTTATTCATTTCTTTATTTTTGAATCTACAAAACTGAAGATTAATAAATAATGAGTTACCTAATTGTTCAAGTTTTACTTACAGTGTAATGACTTTCTTTACTTATATGAACATCACACACTTATTAAATTATTGTCATATTTGTTCTATTGCATCCTTTGCTACAGTCCTACAGCAGTAATAACAGTTTTTGAGATTAAATAAACTTCTAAGTGACACTGGCACAAATCATACTCTCAGAGAAAGAAACTCACATACCCTCAGAGCTTGTGATTTAGGAGGCCACATGTAGAACATACAGTAGTTGGGTCTCTGCAACTCTTCCAACAGTGAGCGGACACTTCATTGAAACAGTATGCCATTTTAAAACTTGCTGATTTCTTACTTCCTTGCATGAAGTAAATGAAGTATTGTAATCGTGCAAAATTTCGGGTATCATATTTAAACAAAAATATCCATTTTGACTACTCTCCAATCCATTTAAACGATGCTTTTGATTCACATCTGTACGTACAGACAGAATAAAGGTCTCTTTTTTCCAAAACAGATTGTCAAATGAATTTAAAATTGTTTCAGAAGACATTTTTTGTGACGTCTGTATGTATTTGCATGTGTGCATGTATATCTTGCATAACTAAAAAAAAAAAAAAAAAGATTAGCCGCAGAACATTGTCATTTTGTATATGGAACTGCTATAACATGTAGTTGTGCATCTTCCCCTTTTTTTTGTTGTGATCAATCGCACTGGACGTATATGTATATGGTAACTATTTCTTATTATAAATTATTGGTGTATTACTTTGCAGCTTTTTCACAAGTCAGAGGCTTCTTAATTTACTTTTAATTACTTTATTTTGAATTTATATTCTAACTAAAAGCAGCTTTTAGCACTATTTTAGTAACAGCCTACTCTCTATGTATTATCTCCAAGAAGAATTCCAGTTTTTTCTCCAATCAGGCTAAACTTTCTTAAATAGAAAACTGCACTTTAACAACAACCCTTTTACTTCCATCACTTAGAACTTGAACTTCCAGCCATTTGGTTTAGAATTTTGAAGGCAAGTTTGTTAATTTTAATTTTAAGATTATTTGCTATTTTGTTTAACAGGATTTTTTTTGGCTTAAATGGATTGTGCTTAAATGGATTCTTTATTTGGATTGTGTATTAATTGTGACTTATGGTTTGGATCTAGAAGATAATTTGATGCTTACTTGGAAGTAAGATGAAACACTCTCTATTAGTTCAGTTGTTGTTAATTGATAGTAGATTGGTTTATCCCCTTGATAAGTCAATTAATCTGCCATCAATGATTATAGCTACTTTTTCACTACTTAAAATATTTACTTTTGGTTTTGGTATTTTTGCGATTAAAGATTTTTCTTAGCACATTTTTTTATGTTTTAAACAAGGAGATTGAAGCAACTACTTAAAATACTAATTTAAATTCTGACTAAAAATTTGTTTCATTCATGGTTTTAAACTGAATTTGTGTTCCTTGGAGATGGTATATAGAAAGTTTTCTTATCATAAATTATAATGAATTATTGGTTTATTACTTTGCAGCTTTAGTGCAAGTCATAGGCTTTTTAATTTACTTTTAATTACTTTATTTTGAATTTATATATATATATATTTCACAAGAAATATATCTGCTCTTGGAGACAGAGACACTTTCAATCACTCAATTTCAACAACAGTGCGGGTATATATATATATATATAATATGTAGGTATATGTATACCTATATACACCCCATTCTGTTACGTGGCTCAGTGAATTCAGTTTTATTTTTATATGTTGGTAAATTCTGCATTTTATTCCTTTAAAAGTGACTGAATTATATTGCTCTTATGTTCCAGCTAAGGTTTAAGGCCTTTAGTTAATCTCCATGCAATAGCTGTAGAATTATCACTTAAACTGATGTAATTTAAGTGGCACTAAGCAGAAGAAAGCAGTCATTTGTTTAACATTTGAAACTCTTGTTTAAATAGTGAATTAAGTCTTAAGTCGATTGGTGCATCAACTTCGGTGTTTTTTTGCCCAGTGGGATCAAACAACTTTCAATTTTACACACCGAAAAATTTGGTCTTCCTTTCCGCTGGCCGGATTGCTTGTTTTTGCGCAAAAATTATAATTTTAATTTTTAAATTGTATTTAGTGTTTTCTGGTTTTTTGCATTTTACAATTTTTAATGAAGATGAGTTTTTATGTATTTTTACTTTGCCACAAAGTGAGAACTGAATTAATTGAATGTGAAATATATCTGTCATGAAATTCGAGGAAATACGTTTAAATGAAATACAGAAAAAAAGTGTAATTTAATAGGCCATATAAGGAAGGAATGTGGTCTCTATATCAGATATTTTAATTTGGTGTATATCATAATCAGACACCATTAGCAGGCTCAGAGTTATGGTCATATGAAATCAGTATCTTGAACAATCAAGTTTGTTAGTTATTTCTTTATCTATACATTCATAATTTGTTCTTTTTATGCAGTGTCTTTTGATTTTTAAACTGAAAAGGATAAGTATCAAAGGAGATACTTCTAATTTATGACAAAAAGCAGATAAATTTTTTAATCAATAAGTATGAATTTCAGTGATTCCACCCAACTGAGAATTTTTTTTAATTACTATTATTATTTTTTATTTGGAGTAATAAAAAATTTAAATACATATGTCTAGTATATATTTAAATTTTATATCACCTCTAACTATTAAATATCATGTCTGTTTTTGCAGATTTAAAAACATGATTATCAAAATATTATAGATTAACAATTTTTTTTTTTTTTTGTTTTTTTTTTTTTTTTTTTTTTTTTTTTTTTTTTTTTTTTTTTTTTTAAGAAGTAAACTTTGATATTTTTCATTTCTTGCAACATAAAAAGGTATCAACTGATAGAATAAAGATTAAAAATTATATTCTGGGATTCACTGTATTCAGTGTTCTTTTTGAATGTAACAGGACCTGTGTATATCTTTATTCTACTTGATTTGTTCAGATGGTAGAAAATGACTTCATGTTATGCTCCCAATTCTTGATTCCAAAACTATGCTACTAAAATTGTTTACTCTTCAGATTTATCAAAGACAATATTATTATACATAATTAAGACACAATAACACGCCGAATAAATACTAATTCAGAAGTCAAACCACAAAAATCAGCGTTATACCTACAAAATTTTCACAGGACTAGTTTCGATGGTTTTACCGAACCATCATCTTCAGCTGCAAAACCGCAAATGAACAAGATAGGAAATAATGATTAGATAAGATAAAGCCTGGACAAGAATAAGCAAGTGGCGCCATCTGTTGGCGAAACCAGAACTAAAACATAATTTCTCTAAAAGCCGAAGGCAAATTTGGATTGGAATTAGGATCGTTAACTAGAACAGAAAGATTTTTATGAATGTGAAATGCCTCTAGAAAATCCAGTTCTCCAATGGAAGATGTTTTTTGAATAATTTTGGCAGCAGAAAAATTGAAAGTGTGATTTTCGGACCAACAATGTTGAGCAACAGAAGACTTCTGTGTTTTTCTTTTTCTAACATATGCCTCATGTTCTTTGACGCGAAATTTTAAGGCTCTCTTAGTTTGGCCAATGTAAATTAAACCACACTGGCAAGGAATCCTATAAATACCCCAGGAATTCATATCCGGAATGGGGTCCTTGAGTATAGAAGTTGGAATTTTATTGATGGGAGAAATAAACAACCCGAAAGTTAAATTTCTGCAAAATATGTGCAACTTTATAGCTAATTGATGGAAAGAAGGGAATGACAACAGAATTTTTATAATCTCCTAAAATAAGAGTGTGGCTTTTAGTGTGTTCAGATGAGAATTTTTTAACTGCTTGATTAATAATGTTGGGTGAAAAGCCCCTGTCAATAGCTATTGCTTTTAAATAATTTAGTTCTTCATCAAGGGCTAATTTGGAGGAGCAAACTTGAAGAGCACGGAAAACATAGGAATAAAATGAAGCTAACTTTTGTTTAGTCGGATGACATGATTTAAAGTGTGGTGGAAGGCAAACCGATGAAGGTTTACGGTAAACTGTAGTACTGAAGTTGGATGTGTTACGTGTGACCAGAATGTCGAGAAACGGAAGAGAATTGCAAGTCTCAAGTTCAAAAGTGAACTGAATAGCAGGATCAATAGAATTCATTGTTGAAAGAACTTTATTTAAATCATCTTTATTACCTTCAAACAGGGTAAAAGTATCGTCTACGTAGCGGAACCATGCCGGGAAGTTTAAAGTTTCAAACAATTTTGATTCATAATAATGCATGTAGATATCAGCCAGGATGGGACTGAGGGGGCTTCCCATGGCTAATCCCTCAGTTTGTTTGTAATATTTATTTTGGAAAACAAAATGTGTTTGTTTCAAACAGAGTTGAGTGAGAGAAATTAGCTCCTCAATTTCGATGCAAGAGAAATGAAATTCGCGAAGTCTGGTTTCTAGACATCTTAATGCACCCTCCACTGGGACATTGGTGAATAATGATTTTACATAAAAAGAAACCATGAGTAAATTACTAGGAGAAATGTTTTTAACCTTTTTTACAAACTCTATTGAATTTTTTATGGTGTAAATGTTATTGTCTAATAGAGTGGAAAATCTAGAAACCAAATATTTAGCTAAAGGATACGAGGCAGTACCTAAATTTGATACAATAGGGCGGAAAGGAATACCACTTTTATGAATTTTGGGAAGAGCATATAATCTGGCACAATTCGCAACAGATGGGATAAGCGAATGTTTTAAGTTGCTTGAAATGATTTGCGAAGATTTGATCGCAGTTTTTATTTTGGATAAGTCCGAAGGTGAAGGATCTTTAGGGATCGGATTATATGGTCCTTCGTTTAAGAGTTTAGTGACACCATCGATGTAAGTGTTCTTATCCATGACGACTATCTGGCCGCCTTTGTCGGCCTTTGAAATGATAATATCCGGGTTAGAATGAATTTCGCGCATTGTAGCTCTTTCTCTCGCAGTTAGATTTGGTTTCAAAGGTTTATTATTGAATTTCACATTATGAGCGATAAGATGCCTAATCATTTCTTTCTGTGAATCTGAAACTTTACTGAACTTGAAAGCTTTTTCGATAGGAGCCAAAATCTTTGGAATCGAGGGTTTACAGGTTTGTGAGAAGTTAAAATTATATTTTAGAATTCTCTCTTGTTCTTCTGAAAGACTAACATTAGAAATATTAACTATTGGCTTGATGTTTACAATGGGAAGATTTTTTGAACTACTTGAACTGGAAGACTGTAAAAAGAAGTTTTTTTCGAATTTAACTGCAAGGGTGTTTTTATGACGGTTAACTGCATTCTCCGTTCTAGACCAAGACTTTTGTTCAAGGGCAGTGAATTTTGGATATGATTTAGCGAGTTCCAGATGAAGCTTATAGAGTTCATGTTCAATTTTGGACAATTGTTGACGTGTATCCCTTATCACGGACCGAAGTAAGGCAAGCTTGCAATTTAACAGAATTCTTGAAACGCGACTCGAAGGTTTTTGATTAGATTTGATTTGAATAAAATTGGGGATCAATTTTTTACATTTACATTTAAGTAAAAAGTCAAGATGATTCAGGAATTTTTGCCGTTTCAGGCGTAATTTAGTGAAACGATTAACGGATGAAGGCATGATAAACAATGCAAAAATCAAACTAAATTAACTGAGCAATAATAAAGTACACACAAAACACAGAAAAATCCCTCACTGAAATGAATAGAAAACAAAACGTTTGTAAGCAAAATGCATGAAATCAGACAAGCAAAGCACAATATCTAAATGTACAAAATATAAACATAACTTAAAAATTGCAAAAATGTACTCACCGAAACTCCTACAATCACAAAATGGCGGCCACACCACGTGCAAAAAAGAAAGCAAAATGTAAGCCTGTTTGGGGCTTCTATAATTAAGACACAATAACACGCCGAATAAATACTAATTCAGAAGTCAAACCACAAAAATCAGCGTTATACCTACAAAATTTTCACAGGACTAGTTTCGATGGTTTTACCGAACCATCATCTTCAGCTGCAAAACCGCAAATGAACAAGATAGGAAATAATGATTAGATAAGATAAGAAAGCCTGGACAAGAATAAGCAAGTGGCGCCATCACTATTCACCAATGTCCCAGTGGAGGGGTGCATTAAGATGTCTAGAAACCAGACTTCGCGAATTTCATTTCTCTTGCATCAAAATTGAGGAGCTAATTTCTCTCACTCAACTCTGTTTGAAACAAACACATTTTGTTTTCCAAAATAAATATTACAAGCAAACTGAGGGATTAGCCATGGGAATCCCCCTCAGCCCCATCCTGGCTGATATCTACATGCATTATTATGAATCAAAATTGTTTGAAACTTTAAACTTCCCGGCATGGTTTCGTTACGTAGACGATACTTTTACCCTGTTTGAAGGTAATAAAGATGATTTAAATAAAGTTCTTTCAACTATGAATTCTATTGATCCTGCTATTCAGTTCACTTTTGAACTTGAGACTTGCAATTCTCTTCCGTTTCTCGACATTCTGGTCACACGTAATACATCCAAATTCAGTACTACGGTTTACCGTAAACCTTCATCGGTTTGCCTTCCACCACACTTTAAATCATGTCATCCGACTAAACAAAAGTTAGCTTCATTTTATTCCTATGTTTTCCGTGCTCTTCAAGTTTGCTCCTCCAAATTAGCCCTTGATGAAGAACTAAATTATTTAAAAGCAATAGCTATTGACAGGGGCTTTTCACCCAACATTATTAATCAAGCAGTTAAAAAATTCTCATCTGAACACACTAAAAGCCACACTCTTATTTTAGGAGATTATAAAAATTCTGTTGTCATTCCCTTCTTTCCATCAATTAGCTATAAAGTTGCACATATTTTGCAGAAATTTAACTTTCGGGTTGTTTATTCTCCCATCAATAAAATTCCAACTTCTATACTCAAGGACCCCATTCCAGATATGAATTCCTGGGGTATTTATAGGATTCCTTGCCAGTGTGGTTTAATTTACATTGGCCAAACTAAGAGAGCCTTAAAATTTCGCGTCAAAGAACATGAGGCTTATGTTAGAAAAAAGGAAACACAGAAGTCTTCTGTTGCTCAACATTGTTGGGTCCGAAAATCACACTTTCAATTTTTCTCTGCTGCCAAAATTATTCAAAAAACATCTTCCATTGGAGAACTGGATTTTCTAGAGGCATTTCACATTCATAAAAATCTTTTCGTTCTAGTTAACGATCCTAATTCCAATCCAAATTTGGCCTTCAGCTTTTAGAGAAATTATGTTTTAGTTCTGGTTTCGCCAACAGATGGCGCCACTTGCTTATTCTTGTCCAGGCTTTCTTATCTTATCTAATCATTATTTCCTATCTTGTTCATTTGCGGTTTTGCAGCTGAAGATGATGGTTCGGTAAAACCATCGAAACTAGTCCTGTGAAAATTTTGTAGGTATAACGCTGATTTTTGTTGTTTGACTTCTGAATTAGTATTATTATACATGCTGCTTTGGTGAGCTACAGCACCAGAACTTTAGTAATGAACTGTTGTAGAAGTGTATTCCATAACTAGATTGTGTGCTAGATTCCACAACTAGATAGATAGATTATAAATGCACTTCATACTGATGTATGTTGATTTATACAAAGTACATTCTAGTGTGACTGATATAGCATATTTTCATCTTTTTCCCCATGAGGAGATATATGAAATGGTTTTGCATGGGAGCAGACAACAATTTTGCAAACAAGTAAAATACACTTTCTTGAAACATTCTGTATATTTTGATAATCATATAGGGGGATGAAAAGTGGTAGATAAAGTTTTATGTGTTTAAATATTAATTATTTTAAAATAAATATGCACTTCCAATTACAAAATGTCTCCAATTATGGGAGAGAATTTTATGAAAACAGTCTTAACACTGAGTTACATTTTATAAAGCAATTTCAACACAAGGATTCTCTAAAGTTTACTTTGGGCATGACACAATTTATTTCAGTTGTATTTATATATATTATCCACATACCAGATTATAATGTGCTAGGGTAACCATTTGTAATCTGTACTGCTATTGGAAGTTCAATAGTTAACACTATTTTCCTCTGTCTTGACTCAGTTTTAGAACTTGGAAGACAATGAGCAATTCTCTTATTTATTTTGTTTGAGCCTTGTTTACAAGTCCTATAATCAATCAGTGCCTTGGTCTGTTCAGTATTTCACAAATGTGAGATAAAATGGTGACTAGTGTGTTATACATTTCACTATATACAAATATTTATGATTATCTCTTCTTCTAATTTGATTTTAAACATTTTCTGAGCATAGAAAGTAAATGATCATAAAATAAGTGATTTACCTGGTTAGCTTTCAGGTCAATTAAATAGCGATGAGAGACAAAGAATATATTTAAAATATGCAAATGTAGACCTAGGTGGTTGCAATAAGTGCTTTGAAAGAGCCTTATCTGATAGAACTGGCGAAGAAACCAGTGTAAAATTTAAAACCAGAAAGCAACCTTAATTAGCATGTATAAAGCTACTGAATTTAAAATTAAAAATCAATGCTAACTTAAGGTTTCCCCCCCCTTAATTTTAAGCTTTATCTTATGACAGTTTTGCTAGCAAGTATTTAGAGTGGGGTAAAAAGCAGACTGCAACAAATGTCAAAAAAGGATGTCTCAAGGAAACTATTTTTCATTCTTTTATAGCAAAATTTAAGTTTAATAAAAAATTGTAATTAAATGTATATATAAAATTATTTTTTGATATTTAAATAAAAATGTCTTACACTGAAGTAGAAATATGAATATTGTCAGAAACAAGCTTTGAATATATTGTAATGGAGGGCTATATATTATAAAAATTATTGTAATATATTATATTGCAATAATATTATAAATGCATTTTATAAAGGGAAAAAAAATTTGTATAATAAAATTTAATGTGTATCACAAAAAGTTAAAATCTGTTGTAAGCTATTTTAAATTTTCAAAAACTAAATTCTTTGCAGGTGTTCCTCGAGCAAGACCAGATGTATCGCCTACACGATCTTTGAAACCATTACACAATGAAAGAATTAATGGACTTGCTGCTGCTAAAAAGTCAACTAATCGGATTTTGGATCGTGCTGATCATTTCAAAACTGTCACCCATACCAAAAAAGAGCTTGCCTTACTTTATCAACATAAAGTAATATGGGAACAAGAATATATGCATTTACAGTATATGGAAGACAGACTACAGCGGGAAATCTACAATCATTTGACAATTTATGGACAACTAGGTTCAGATGGTCAACTTCTTTTGGCAGATAACATAAATTTTATTTTAGAAATTGAAGAGGAAAAGGCTTTTTTTCGTGAAAATGTTGTTGATCCCCTCTGGTACATAAGGTAACACATTATTTTTAAATATATATTTCATAGTAATTCCTGAAATAGAACCAAACAATAGTTTTATTAAGATTTTCTATCAATATTATAAAAAGCTTAAAAATTGCTTTATTTCAGTTTTTTAGTATTATATTTTAATTACTACAAAGTATATAATGTAATTGAATTATTTTGTGAAATTCAAGAACTAAAAAAGTGTTAATTCTTTAGGATGTTAATTTTTGCATAATGACTTCTTCATAAGTAACAGTTTATTGAGAGGCACACATGATTCGTTTTAAATTTGGATATGCTACCAATTTGTTTTCAAAAACAGTTCCATTCTTAGGAGGATAAAAAAACCAGATATATGCATTAAATTTAAATCCTCGGTGAGACTGCCGATTTTGAATTTTTTTCATTTTAATCCTCTACATACTGAAAATTTAGAATTTCTTTAATTCATATTAGGTGAAGGAAGGAGCTTCAATATTGTTAATCAGTGTTGATTAAAAATAACAGTGAGTATAAACTGAAAGGCTACAAATGGGAGTTTATGTAACTATAATTACTATTGTTGCCCACTGAAATACTTGCATTGTAATTAATATCATTTTCTTCCTGCCTTCAAACTTTATTTTGACTTAAATAGGCCTATGTACTTTTATCCGTTTAATTAAGGTCGTATAGTTGCCTTTGGATATGGTTAAGGATAAGCTGTCATATTTAATATTGCCATGACCTACTATAGTCTATCATGTATTGCCTTTGTAATCATCATTAAGCACATGATTTGCTAAAAGTTTCTGTATATCCCTAATAGCTTACAGTATTACTTTGCCTTTCAGATTACAAAGGCCTTTTTAGAACCTTACTGACTCTAGCATTGCTAAATTTAGAAGGTATTAAACTAATTTATCTCTAAAGTCAGAAAGCAATAGCAGCAAGAGTTCTTATATGCCATATAGACAAAAACATGCAGGTGCAATTATTAACTTAGCCTTGATTATAGACAATATCCTTAGTTACAGAACCATTCAGCAGCATTTTACATAGAAAGCTTTTCACGAAAAATACCATCACCGTCTTTGCTGGCAGATCTAAAATAAATGCAGGAACTGCAAGTGCTTTCTGTGCCTATAAAAACAATAATCTAATTCACTTTTGGTCTGTAAAACTTAAGAAATGGCATCTCCATATTCCAAACAGAACTATTACCCACAAAGAAATGGATGCTAAAATCACACTTCTTGATGATAATACATATACGGACTGCAATTCCTGTATTATAACAATCATTTGTGGTAAAAGTGAAATTTAGCTTATCTAAAATATTAAATTATTACTAACAAAAAGTCAAAGATAATTTTGCTCAATTTTACCAAAATCTGCATCAGAACAGAAGATAAAGAGACAGCTGGCTGTTTAGTCAAAGATGCAATAGTCAAGCCAAATATCAGGACATCATGTGTTCCATGTCACATCTAAAATAATGCCTTAAAAATACTTTTATCTCTACCAGGCTAATTTATGGCACACTGTGGATGTTAGCAGAAAACTTAGGATAATTTCTAAAATGTCACAACTGATTTAAAAATCAATAGTTCTGTTAAAATGCAATTTTATACCAAAAATTCTTCAAAACCTGTTTAATTATATATATTTGTTCAAAGAGACCCTGACAATTGTATTTGTGGTAGTAAGAGTGACTTATCCCACTACTTTTGACTGTAAATTCATGCAAAATTTTTGCTTAACCCAGCAATAATCTGCAACATACAGAAATGGAGGCAGAATCTTCTCGAAAGCAGCAGAACCTGGTTAAAGCACTGAAAATAATCACATGTATCAGTGAAACTTTGTTTCTGTTTTTAGGAGACTTTACTTCTAAACTAACTTTTTAACAATTTACTTTTGAGCTAATTCAACTCTTTTTTTTCATACTAAAATCTTAATTGAAATGATTTAGTCTAAGGTTTAGTCTTCAGTTGTATATGATTATTTCAATTTAAGCTTTGTATTATAAAATCATTAAATGGCTGATTAAATTGAATCATTAAATGTAATTATTTCATTTGATTAACTTTGCTTTTCATTTCTATATTTCATCTTAAATGAAGTTAAACATATTGTCAGCTCTTGGAATTAAGCATAAAAAATGTATCATTTTAGTAAATAGCAGAAATCAAACAATCTAAATGAAGCATTTACAAAACATTTTGGGAAAATGTATATATATTTAAAATATTGATTCAGTATATTAAACACAAAAACTGAGATACAGCACAACAATATGCTATGCTATTATGTGCAGTATTTAATAGTAATAAAAATAATAAAACAATGCCTGTTTTTTGAATGTTATTTAACCATATAGCTCTGCTTAATAATTTCATTTAAACCACATCTTTAGTACATTTTATCTTTTTAAAAATCTCTTAGTTTCTTAAGATTCTTATTTAATTTGTAATTCTTAATTTTTATTTTAAAAAGGGAAGATTTGCGAGAATGGGTTAGACAACATGAAGGATTAAGACCTCTTCCAGATTCAGCCAAAATGCAACATTATCAAATACAGAAAGAGGTAAAGGAGTTATGGACTGGTTATAAAGAAATAGCTGAAGACTTAATAAAAGAACAGCGTGATCTAGAGCAGCAAGTTAAAGAAGGTGAGACATTTTTTTTTTTAACTTGTGTGTGAGAAAAATTTTTAGATGCAATCATATTTAAATCATGTCGGAATCGTAAGAAATGATGATAAATCTTATATTATTTTTCTTTTCATCTAAGAAATATTCATGTTGATTTTGTATATTAAAATCAGCAATTAGATTCTGGAAGTTAGATACAAAACCATGTATAATAAAATTAAAAAGTTAAAAAACTTTAATAGAAGAATTATAGTATGCTTTTTGAATATATTTAAGAATGTTTGATTCTTCTTGTTTAAAATCTTGAGGACTCCTTTAGCTACTAAACATATTCACATCTTTGTATTTCTCAGTTTTAAATTTCTTAAAATTAATTTTATTATTCCCCTGATTGAGAAGACAAGTTATTCTATCTATAAAATAATGCAAGAATGTTTTTAGACTTAAATTGGGGGGGAGTATAAAGAAAAGGGGGAAAATGTTACAAATATAATATTATAGAGTCATTAGGTTCTTTTGAAGCAAGAGATGTGAAAAATGTGCAGTGCCCTTTCCGGGACTCAAACCCTGGACTTCTTGAATACGCTTTGAGTATGCTTGCAGTTACACCATGAAGGCATGCAGAAAGGAGGGACAATATACTTATGTACTTCCCCTTTTAAAGGGTGACTGGAGATGAAGGGACCCAGTTGCCAAATCCTGGTAGTGACGAATTATCGTCCACAACCTTTTAGTTCGGGTGCCACTTGTAGAGTCGTAAAGACATTAGGTTTTTTTCGAAGCAGAAGACATGAAAAATGAGCAGTACCCTCGCCGGGACTCGAACCACGACTACACCACGAAGCCATGCTAAGAAGGCAGGAGAAATACCTTATATACTTCCCCTTTTAAAGGACGACTAGGGATTAGGGGACCCAATTGCCAAATCACGGTATTGGAGAATCATCATCCATTACCTTTTTTTAGTTTGGGCACCACTGTACAGACATTAGGTTATTTCGAAGCAGGAGAGAGGGAAAATGAGTAATGCCCTTTCCGGGACTCGAACTGCGGACCTCTCGAATTCGCTTTGAGCGTGCTGACCACTACACTACGAAGGCGGGAGAAATACCTTATAGAGTCATTAGATTATTTGAAGCAGGAAACATGAAAAATATATAGTTCCTTCACCTGGAGTCGAATCCTGGATCTCTCGAATATGCATTGAGTATACTTCCAATTACACCATGAAGGCATGCGGAAAGGGTGGGAAAAACATTATAGTAAAGGATGTCACTAAGGTATTTCACTAAAATGTCTCAAAAACTAAACACTTCTATTATTTAAAATTTTTTACAAACAGACATATTTTATTTACATTAAAATTATCAAAATGTGGAAGTTAATTTAATAGAATGTTGATGATAAAAAATGCTCTCAAATTAAAACAAGATAAAATTTTAAATTTAAAGAAAGAGGAGACATGAAAATATAAAATAAAATACTTCATTTCCCAGGTTTTTTAGTCATTCGTTTAGACATAAAAAAATTTAAAATTAAATCCCACTTTATTTAAGAGTAATGTACTTTAAGCTGAAAATCAGTCTTAATGAGACTGTTACTTGAAAACAGAACATCTCTTATGGAATAATGGTCACAAAATAAATTGAGGCAATTCACCCATAAAATAACATAATTTTTCATAATGTTTTAATATGCATGCAAAATTGCAAAAATTATCATGAAATGGAGCATTTTTTATTTGAAATGCTGAAAACATTCTTGAATTTATATTTTTCTGAACATTTCAATCAGCAGGTTCTGTAGATTAAAAACAGCATATTTATTTTTGTCATTATCTAAAGGGGGGGGAAGTTTAAATATCACTGTTTTGGTTATGTGATGATGATTTACAAGCAGTTTAATATTTAGTGCAAGTTTTCGGATGGCTTTAGTTCTTCCCTCCCCCTCCTAAATTTTAAAAAATTGAGAGTCTTAGATTGCATGGCAGCCTTTATTTCTATAAGATGCTCATATTGTAGAATTATACAGGAAAAGCTAAAAAGTAGAATTTGTGCAAGTGATGCGATTAATACTTTGTGTATCAGAAATTGAAATTTGAATATATAAATTTTAGTGGTGTAAAATAAATATTTTGATTGAATTATTTAGTTTTAATTATGGAATATTGCGTATATTCTTTGCACGAAATTAGTATCATACTATTGTTAGACAATTTGCTGAAAATATGAGTGAAGAAATTATTAAATTTTTTTTACATCACTTCAAAACTTTTAAGATTGTTTATTTTTACGTAAATAAGCAGATACTTGTTATGCCTTATAAGCAGCATGTAAAAGATGATTTTTTATTCAGTAATTTTTCTTTGCATGTTTTTTTTTGCCCATGCTTTTGTTGTTTGCTGGTTTAAAAAAAATCACAAACATTTATTATTAACCTTGCGAACCTTTAACATTTACCTTACATAAAGTGAATTTGATCTGTAAACCTGTCACTTAATGCAGCTGAAAGATATGATACTGTTTTCCATATTTACGTGATTAATCAGTTAATACACAATTTTACTTCATGCAGAATATTTTTGTTGCCAATCTGAATTGATAAATTTGTTTTAAGAGTGGAGGAAAAACTTTAAAATGGGCAAAGTAAATTATCTGCTGCTTTTATGAACACTGTACAAGCTTTAATGTTTATAATATATAATCAAAATCTTTCAATAAAATATTAAAATGTTGCTAATTTTAAAGGAAATGCTGGTATTAATTCCCTTTTACAAAAATCTAACAAAAATTCACCTGTATAAAATATGATTAGATTTAGATTTTATTAATGTAAAGATAGGAAATAAATGCTACAATCTAGAAGTCTGAGACTAGTTTAAAGACAATTGTGGTCTATGAAAAATGGATATGTTTTAGCTAATAAACCATATATGTCAATGAAAACCATACATTCAGTGTTAATGAAATGTTTTAAGTTTAATAAAATAAGGTTTTGCTAAACGTAAAGTCATTTCTAAATCATATTTTAGTCCCGGAAACATATTTGTATTAAATGCATAAGTTGCGTTTCGAATATTTAATAGTTGCAAATATCTCTAAAAATTATTATTGGGAAAGTTATTAAAATACTATATGTTTTTCATATTATGACTTGTGTTTATTAATTAAAATTCTTTTAATAATTTTGAAGCTTTGTAATATTTTGTATTTAATGAGTAATTTGAAAATTACAGCAGTGCCTCCATATGTGGCTGAAGAGAAGCAAATAGCAAAAGGTGTGCCACCAGAGTTTCATGAGCTTTATTGTCCAGATCCACAACTGAAAGAAAACTTAATAGCTGAGCTTACAAGATTAGATGATAGCTATTCAAATCGACTACGAGATCTTGATAGAAATTGTGATCGACAGTAAGATATTTTTCATTTAAAGTTCTGGGCAATGTTTATTCACTCTTTACTTTTTGTGTTTAGTTATTTGCTAACTATTTTGCAAGAAGAGTCATTGTGTCTTGTTAACTTTTAGTTTGTAGACTGAATTTTCTTTAACCTGTGTTCTGTTTATTGACATTTGATTAAAACTAATCAAATTAAAACTATTATCTAGAATACAAGAAAATGACTGTATCAGTTGGTTAAAATTTAGTTCAAATCATAGTGGCAGTAATAATGTGACACTTTTGTTAGTATCGCATAAGTTAAACTTATAATAATTTATTACAATAAACATTCCTGAATTTTAACTAAATTTTTTTAACATAGAGAATTTAAACAAAAATGAAACTAACTAATAATAATGGTGAAGGAAAAAAAAAAAAAAAGAAAGAAAGAAAGAAAGAGGACACAAAAATTCATGCCCATGACTAATGAAAGTTTTCTGAAGCATGTGAAATAATATTTCAAATTAATCCTCACAAAGCTGACATGCATATGTAAGATATTCAATCAGAATAGCTTTCTTAATCCTTTCTTTTCTTTTTTTCTTTTAAGAGCATGTCCAGGAGGTTGGAATGATCATGATGCTGCTGTCTTTGAGCACATATTAGAACAATATCCTGCTGATCTTCCAGATCGAAGAGTTTTATGTTTTGATAGGCTGAAAAGGACTTTTCCTCATAAGACATTAGGCCAACTGGTAAAGTATTATTATTTTATAGTCAGTGAAACTATAGTATCAACAACTCACATATAGCATGAAGGGAAAAAATGACCTATTATTCAGAAAGTTTTTTTATCTGGAACTGTAAGAACAGACCCTCCCCCTTTTTTTGAATGAAGGAGTAAAATATTTAAATAAATAAAAGTAAATTATGAATAATTCTCATTATGCATAAAAAATAATTTGAGACATTTATTTACACAAAAGAAAAAACAAAATAATATATTAAATAAATAAGGTATTCTATGAAGAAAAATATTTTGAAATTAATACTTGTTTATTTCTGGAATAACTATTTATAATTCTGTATTCAATTTTATATGAACATTTGTAATATTTAACGTTTGTTCTCTCAATAGACAGTACTGTTACATGAATACAGGCTCATAATGGATTGAATGCACACTGAAACAATGATAGTTTGATAATGTTTATTTTCCTTAAAAAAAAATAATAATAATAATTTTTTTACAATTCGGAACTTTATACAAAAGTATTCATACAGCTCATTATATACAATCAATTGGTACCACTTCAAACTGCTAAGAACGTTAAACACAAAGCGATGCAAAGCACAACTAAAGAACAAAGCTCACACGGAGGTCTCTCAATCCTCTATTAATGCTGAACTACTCTCAATACTCAATTAATGCTGAACTAAAAACTGAGAGCTGATGCTTTCTCCGTTCTTATATAGGTTTTCCCCAGCTGCTGTAAAATTTACAGTAGTTTCTGTTTCTCGAAATTACTGGAAAGCATATATGGTTCAAGTTACATATAAGGGCTGGATACTGTTACTATTACATATAGGGATAAATTAGTTATTCAATTGCAGTTATAGAGGGACCAGACCTTGGGCGAATTCTTGCCAAATGTGGTGAAAAAAATAGTTACTAAAACCATCACCAGCTTGGTGACATCTTGCCAGTTTTGCAAGATAGCCATTTACCTCGCCAATTTCACAAAATATCCATTTAAAGAGACTTGCCCCTGTAACCTTATTTTTGCAGCAGATCTTCACTCTTTCAAGGCATTTCATATTACATTACACAAGAATATTACAATTTTACATATAGTTTCACTAAAATTATTTATATATATACAATAATTTGTAACATTGCATTCCTTCCCAAGGACTGCATGTCCCAGGCAGTGCAAACCCTGGACAGGAAGCCATGTTTGAAGCAACATTCAATAGTTTTTATTTTTCTGTTTATTTTTGAAACATTATTCTATCTCTTGAAAATGTGCTGAATGGCTTCAAGAACAAAAATGGGAATCATATTTGTCATCAATAACCTCCATCCAATCTTTTACCAAGATCTTTAGAAAATGAACCTTAAATTTTACATTCCTTTCTTGGCTGCAAAAGAGATATGACATTCATGGATATGAACAGCAACTTTTCGTATCCCATTTTGAAATTTTTTTACTCAGTTCTTTGATTGCTTCTGTTCAAAGTATTGAAGATATCTAAGCTTTAAAAGTTAGTTATGTATGCGACTAGCTAGCTTTCAAACTCATATTTTTAAACTGGCTGCATGTGAAATATTTTCTGGTGTTTTGCTTAATTGGTACCAATGATGTTTATATCTAGCAATAGGTATTTGGCTTTTGCTCCCCTCACATGCTTTGAAGCAGAAGGATTTTTTATGGGGGTGGTAGGATGTTAAAAATAACCTTGTTTTGTTCACATTATAAACATTTCAGATTGATACCTACATAAAACATCTTTCAGAATATAGTTCCTCTATTCTTATACAGAAATATTATCCACTGATGCTTGCACCCTACAAACTTTCTTATAAGACAAACTATATATATTTTTTAATTGCTTGGTCCAATCATTAATTGCTGGAATTGCTTGGTTTCTCAGTTCTTTTGTTGTTCAAATACCTTTTCCTTTAAAATGATTTTTGATGTGGGCTTATTTTTCATTTTGCTCTTTATAAGCCTTTTAAGAACTAGACATTCAACTTTTAGAAATTCTTCCAAAAATTTCATATGTTATCCATAAGCAGAGTTTGAGCTTTTTGATATGAAAATATGATTCAAAGATATTTGTGAAATATTATGCATTCTGGAAAATGCTGCTTTGGCTATTTCACATTTTTTAGTATTATTCAAATAACTTAGCTTTCTTTCTTTCTTTCTTTTTTTAATCTAATATCAATGGATACTTTTTGCCACTATTTTCATGATTAAAAAAAGTTGCTTCCGGAAAATAGCAGAAATAAGGATACCTTTCCATAAGATTTGTTAAGAAAGAAATCCCTAGTGTTCTAGTCGTTTTCTGTTTTTAAGAAATTAAAAAAGAATGACATTTTGTATTGGAGCTCCCAAGTTCCACTGCCCATTTCTTAAACACTGAATAACTGCAGTTTAGTTGTAAACCCTAACCTGTTTTGAAGGAACTGGTTAAGTCTTGTAAAATCTGAAACACTTCCTTCAAGGCCATATAATAATTCGAAAACACATGTTTCTATATCCTTAAGGAAATGGGTAACTTAGCTTTAGTCATTACTTTAATTGATGGCTGAAATTCATTTGATGGATTAAAGAGGACAGGAATATAGTCTAGGGGGAAACTCTGGGTCTCCCCCCAAAAAACTGTCTAAAACTATTTTACTTTAAGCAAACATATGACATTTTTCATAGTGTGACTATGAATTACCTCTTGTATTTATTAGTCAAAATTTATTTAAAAATTTAGAAATTTTAAATTAGAAACAATAATACACTTATGTTCCGACGACAAATATACTCATTTCTACAGGAATTTTAATTAATTAGGAGTTATTAATTTTAGCTCAAATCATTTTCTGTTTGGCTAGATTATAATGATATTTTTTCTGTTGATATTTAAAACAGAACAATGTAATGTTAGCAATTGTTAATGGATGCAATAAAAAATTAAATGAAGCAGCTGATCATATATGTCCTTTTCGACAGTCATTATTTTAAGCCAGAAAACTCTTCCACATTTTATTATATTTAATATGAATTACATTTCTGCTTAACAGATGTAATTAAGTATATAATATTAAAAAAAAGTAATAACTTCATATTTAATTAAGAGTTTAATATTTTCTACTCTGCAGATGTCATATGAAACTTGGTATCAAAATAATCGATTTCATAAAGATCGTCGAAAAAAATGCCTTGATGACTGGGCTAGAGAAAGATGGAGTTGGTTGCTGAGAGCTGTTACAGAAGTCTCACAGTCTCAACAATCTCATGCAGGCCACCAGCTAAGCCGTGATGAAGCTTTGCGTCAGAAATTCAAATGTGAAGTACTTCGTCAGAGGGTATGTCCTGCATGTTCTGTTACATATTTTCACTTTTTGTTTGCCTTTTATTTATATTAAGAGTATCTGTACTAATCCTCCTCAAATACTGGATTTTGATGGGATATCTATGTTTAAATAATTTTTATCTTTTCAACTGTTTTCAAGATGCTGTTTATTTTGCTGCATTAACTCATACCTTAAAAAGAAAAAGCAACTTTTGAAGAAATGAAAATATAGAGTATGTTTGAGAGAGTTATAAATATGTGGAAGGTACTGGTTTGCCTGGGCCATAGCTATGGTTTTTAATGCCTGAGAAAAATTGAAGATTTCACACCCCCACCTGTTTGCCAAGAATTTAATTCTAAAGTTTCATTACATCAGTTTGGCAACCCCCTTGATGCTGCAGCTAGGAACAGATGCCCTCCTTTATTATGCCAATGTGGCTTGCTTACACTCATTTTCTTATTTGCATAGTGCTTTTCAGAAGACAAGGTGTTATTTTCTATTCAACAGGACTTTATTTTATTAATTCTCAAAAATTCAATGTAATATTTTAGAAACATATGCAGCAGTGTTCTTGTAATCCATCATCTCTCAGTCTGTAAATATCATAATCTGCAGTCATTTTTGGACAAGCAAAATTTTGAGTTTAAAAAAAAATGCAACATGGCTGCAAATTTGAACAATTTTTCTTATATATAATATGTGCAAATAAATTTAAAAAAAAAAAAAAAACATTATTATAACATATTTTGGTTGAAGAAGTAAATTAATTTTATTAATAAAGTTATTCAGCATTTTCTGTGCATGCATCAGTACTTGCTTTCTTTTATAATAAAGAGGATTGTGAATCTGTGCAAATTTTTCATGCAATTAAACTTCTATGGAAGGGATGCCCAAGCCTTGGCTTGTGTGACCTTTTCATGTGGCTCGCATTCCACATATGGTCCCTTCTCAGTCTTGTAAGACCAAGTGCCGAGATGCAAAAGAAAAAGTCAAATTTCATTTATGCCACGTACTCAGAGGTGTAGGCTACCAGTATGAAGACTTTCACTGGCTGATGGATTTTGGTTTTCTCACAAACATAATTGGAAAGTTGAATTATTTAAACTTGAAGCTTCAGGGAAAAGACAAACATGCAGCATTAATAATAAGGTTGGTTATGTCGTTTAAAGATAAAGCGGTTTTGTGGATATGCAGATAAAGTAATTTTTAAATTTCCCAAGTATGAAAAAAATGATAGGCGAAGATAAAATTTTCTTGCCGTCATTTATTATCAACCTCTAATTACTTCAAGATCAGTTTGAAAAATTCAGCAGTTTAATATTGAGTCAATGGTCACCATTTTCATCAATCTTTTTACTTGTGAAGTAAATGTAACTGAAATATCAGCATGCATTGCAGAGTTTATGCAAACAAGAATGGAAGAACTGGAGCTAGAAATTTTGGATATTCAAAATGACACTGTCCTAAAATCCAATGTACCAGATGAGAACTTCTGAAATATAGCTGATAAAAACAAATTTCTATTTTTAAAAAGAGCATTATACAAGATAAAAATGTTTTTTTTTTTTTTTTGGCGGGGGGATGTTCTGTATGTTTGTCTGAATCATTGTTTTCAACAATGAATATAATCACAAAATCAACATACGGATCTTAACTTATAGATGAACGCCTTGACAGCTTATGAACAGGAAGATCATCATACTCTCCTAATTATGAAGCAATGAGTAATGAAATGCAGTGCTAAATATCACATTGGCTTTAAGAATTACGTTTTTATAAAGAAGTTTTATACCAATAAATTGCAAACCAAACAATTTGAGAGCTTTTGTCTGTATTATTCAGTAATTTATTTTGCATAAGACTAATACAATCAATAATTTTTATATGTTAATTACATCATTCTATAAACTATGTAATCCTATAAATTTATCTTGAAAAAATAAATGTACCCACACCCCATCGCTTTTCTAGAATGTGCTCTAAGGTATAAAAAAAATGAAATTGCTGTGGTAAATAATAATTACTGTGAATAAAATACAAAATCCACCATCCTCCAAAAAATATAGAAGAATACAGTGAAAAAAAACATAGTTACAGCTTTATTCTAGTTTAGTAATATAAAACTGATTCTAGGAATTATTAAATGGTTTGGTACTTTTTGGTTATTTGTAATAGTGTCTACCAAATGTAATAACTTCTTTTTTTTATTTTTATTTTATTTTAAAAGCAACTATCCAATGACATTGTTGAAAATATGTGGGAAGAATGAGCATCTTCAGTTGCTTTTTAATTTTTTTAAAGAAAGAATTAATTATTACTATCGAAACACTAAAATGGTGCTACAGCAAAATATCATGCTGCAACAAGAGTTTATTCTTACCTTTTCTGCCAGCTATTCACTTTATTTTCTCCTGATGTCAAGAGCTTATGTTCTTAGAATTATGTCTCTGCAACTAGGAATAAATTACTGTACAACTATCCTTTGGGTTAATTGTATGCTTTCTTATTTGTCATCAATTCATTATACATTCATCTTTATTATATGAATTTTAGATTTTCTATATGGTAATGATTTTATTATACAGAATTTATTCTTTTTTATTAATTACATTTTCTTTGTGTTCCAAGTTTAATATTCTTTGAATATCAATAAATTTACAGTATCTTGTCAAAAAAAATATTTAAACTATATTGATTATTCTTTAATAAAGAAAACTTATCACTCTTGCAGAAAGAGAAATTTTATTTGAAATAAATTTAATAAATAAAACCAACCAAGTATCTTCATATTACACTTTTTATATTTAAATTGTTCCTTAGACATGAAAGAAGTTTATATAACTGGGTAGTAGCAGTCTGATAAAAACATATTAGATTTAAATAATTTATTGTTATCAAGTATCTCCAAGTAAATTTATTGTTATCAAGTATCTCCAAGTAAAGCTACATTATTTCCTTCATTTTAGTGCTGGTGACTAATCTAGTGAACAAAAAAAAAAAAAAAAAAAAAAAAAAAAAAAAAAAAAAAAGTTTTATGTTTTTAATTTATCAATGTTGTTAATAATGATGTAATATTATATATTATATTTAATCCTACAGGTAGAACAATGGCGAAAAGAAAAAGAGAATGAACGTCTTCAACATGCTGAAATGGAAGCACAGCGAAAATTAGCCCTCAAAGTTGTGCAACAGCGACAAGCAGCTAAGGAAGAATACAGACGAGAGCTGGCTCGGCAACGACTTGCTGCATATTATGAAGAACGTTTGCGCTTCCAAAAGGAGAGTGAAGAAGCTCTCCAACGTCGTATGGAGGATGCACGAAAGGTCACAAAAGAACGTTCCAAACATGACAAAGAGCGGTAAATGAATAATAATAAAAAGTAGATTATAGATCAGCATTTACATAAATAATGGAGATGTATTTAATTTATTTTTTGTGGTACAAAATAAAACATATTAGTGATAAGTATTACTATTATTTACATTCAACTTTGTTTTATTTTGTACCAAAACTATTTAAAAATATTTTAAAAAACTTTTGTATTAACAAAAACATACCCTTCTCTTTATACCTATATAAAACTTGAGGTGCTGTATTAGCTTTAAAAAGGTACATTTTGCATTTTTAAGATATTTTGTAAATATTAAAAAAATATAGCATAGCATTAAAACACGATTCATTATCATAGAGCACTTGCTGATGGCTGTAGATCCAGCTTATTACCTTAAAACATTCAGAATTACTAGTATTTGGCTTAAATTTCTATTTTTCTCATTCTATGTACAAAAATGTTCTATTTTTAGATTGCTGTTTTTGCTAATATTCACACTCATATAAGCATAATTGTAGAATTTTGGTTTTATAAACAACTTCAATTTATATGGTTTTTATTTGCATTCTATGGAATTTTGCCCCATGGTACTGAACTTAATGCAAAATAACTTTTTTGTAAATCCTTATGTAATATTTTTTCTCGAAGAGAAGGGGAAAATCTTTGGTGAATATTATTGTCTTCTTCCATTTTGCCTTCTTTTGATAGAATTTAAGGGAGGGGGAGGCTCATAAAATGAAAATTTTATTATTTATTGAATTTTATGATAAAAGTGTAATGACTAGTTTTTACAGAGTGACAGTTAGTAAATTAGATTACACGGTTAAGGTGAAGCACATGAAGACTTTCTGCCCATATTCCATCCCAGTTTTGATTTGCTAAAAATTATAAAAATGATTCTATATGGTAAAGCATGCTGATCAAGGATTCACCTACAGATTCAAATTCTTAAATGCCTTCAATAACTTCGATTTCAAATTCCCATTCTAGCAATAAGTGGTAAACTTTTAGTTGCCCATATCCATGTGGATAATATGTAATTTACACAGATGTCAATTCAATGTTTCAGATTCCTAAGTCTTGTGATTTCAGTAATTTTTCTGAAGGGCATCAGAACTTATATGTATGATAATTTTCATAAATTCTTATTATCTAACAAACATTTTCTGGAAAAGTAGTTACAAAGTTAAGTGATTTTATATATGGTCCTTAGATGTATTCTTATTGTCTATTTGTGGTAATAATTTCCTTATTAGTATGTTAATATTGAACATAAAGTGTTCTGTTATATTTTTGTATAGTTTTCCTTTTGTATGTAGTCATAATTCAAAAATATAATTTTAATATAGCATTATTGATTGAAACAATTATTTGAGGTACTGAAATACTAGTTCCTTATTATATGTTAATGTCTGGCAAGTGTTTTGTTACATTTTCACTTATAGAGTTACTTTGCTTTTGTGTGTAAACATAATTCAAAAATATGATTTATTAAGTAACATTACTGATTCGAAGATGAATGTTTGTTTTTCTTTGAATCTATACTGCTATAAGAAAGATATAATCTGGTAACTAGATCAAAAACTTTAAACTCAATGGGGAAATATTTATTATGTAAATCATAAATTAAATTAATTTTAAAATAATGTCACGAAAAACCAAATGTCATATGATTTAAAGCTATGAGTTTTATTTGCTTGATTGTCCTATATGTTAAACAATTAATAAATAGATACTCATATAATTTCTACATAATAGCAAATACATTTATATCTTTTCTAATTAAAGCTTCAAATTTTAAAAATCATCAATATGGTATTTATTATTCTGTAGTTTTATATGGAGACTCCAGATTTTTAAAATCCATGTATATTCTAATATTTCTTTAGATATATAAGGATAATTATTGTTTATAGTATGTAATAACAGCCTATAACAACAAATGTTATGTGATTTAACAAATTAACCACAAAAACTACAAGGAATGATTTTTCTTATACAAATAATAATTATTAAATTAATTATTTATAACACACATTTACACTGAAAATAAAAACAAAATTGCTCTTACCTGTGGAAAAATCAATTCCGCTGACATTAGCACAACTTCAACGCAATAATATGGATATTTAGTGAGTTATAAAATGCATTTTAAGAACTTTATTTCAAACTAAATGTAGGCATTGTGTGCATCTAATAAAAATGTTAGTTTTAAAACATAACATTTAAATATATTTTAGTGTTATCTTAAAATAAAAATATAATATTTTTTTAATTTAAAAAAAAAATGTTTTAAATTTTCAATACTTTTTTAAAAAGATTTTTACAATTCATATATCCTTGGCCCACCAGTGGCCGAGCGGTAAAGACGCTGAACACTGGTAGTTCGATCCGAGGTTCGAATCCCTTGAATAGCCTGGCTGCATGGGCGTTTTCGTGGTTTTCCCCATGTGTAATGTGTATACGAGCCAGTTTCCCTTAGAAAGTCCTCCACGAAGTCATCCCTCCCTTCAGGCAGATAGCCCTCGTGTGCTTTGCCATAATTGAATAATCCAATTCATATTCCTATTTATTTTTCATACTCTTTTAAGAATGTACATGTAAATGCAGTATATATATGAATATGCCCATTCATTTTATCATGATTATAAAAGCTTAAATGTTAATCATTTATTGAACAAATAAATTAATTAATGATTATTAGACAAATAAAATGATCCAGAGGCTAACTTATTGTGTTTGAAATTTAAGATGTGAAATAAAAAAGAAAATGTTTAAGTTTGCACTAAATTTATTGAAATGTACTAAAAATCAAAATACTATAAATTTACAATTTTTTCTTTTCATTCCTATAAATTTATTTCAGATGATTGTGATTTAAATGCAGGGTGTGTGTTTAAAATACAGGGTGTGTGTTTAAATTGACAGTATTCAGAGCCATCTGTAAGCTCAATCTGTCAGCTAAAATGCCACCAAATTTTGTAGGGGAATTGATGATGTGGGAAAAAAGATTCCATGAAAATAACATGAATAGTTCCGAATGTTACCTGTAGAAGAACATGTGGTATTCTTCTAGTCTACACAACTGGAAATTTTTATTAAACACGGGTAAAATTTAAAATTGCAAATACTTGATTATGTTAATGTCAACAGTGATAGTAATCCACTCTATAGAGATAAGCAAAAAACATCAAAAGACATTCTGAATATTGGCTAGGTTCAACACTGATCTCACTTTACCTCAGCACACATTACTTGTGAAGTTGTTTCAACAATCGGAACACAAGTATGTCCTTTGTGAGTTTAGAAGTCATTATAAAGTATCAATAAATGCATTGCAAAATATGATGCAGAAGTTTGAAGAAACATGATTCTTGACAGTCTGGTTTGGTAGAGCGCAGAAACCAGTGCCAAAACAGACAGTTCGTGACGTCTTAACTGCAGTTATTGATGGCATCCATGGGACCATTGCTGATAATCCCAATGATGGGGAACAACACAACAACTGGATTTGACTCTTTCAACAGTATGGCAAATCTATCAAAAAGTTCTTCACTTCTATTCGAACCAGATAAGCTGTAGCAGGAATTAAAATACGACAATTATGATAAATTGGGGTGGCATTTGCTCTGATATTTCTTCCCAGGGTGGGGTCGATGATACTTGGGCATAATGAATTCTTTGGGGAGATTAGGCCCATATTCACCTAAATAGGACTATTAACATTCACAGTTCTCAGATTTGGGCATCAAAACAATTCCATGCTGTTCAGGAAATTCCAATGCATTCACCAAAAATTGACTGCTTTGTAGCAGATTTCATCAGTCGATCATTCTTTTTTGACAATATCACTTTAAGGACCACACACTTATACCTTTACTGTACAAAGATACCATGATATGCTGACTAATTTTGTTATTCCATAACTTCAGTAGGCACACCAGGTAACTTTTAAGCCGGCTAGTGCACCACCACACATTAGTCTATCTGTACAGCAGCTGCTGTACCATTGCTCTGCAGAAGAAAGGGTTATAAGTTACTTTTTTCCACTTGCATGATTTTGCTTTCCAGATTTAACCCTATGCGATTTTTTCATGTGGTGTTGTTTTGAAGTTTAAGGTCTGTCTTGGTGGGATCTTGATTCTAATGATCTTAAGCAACATATCACAGGCTGTTCTTAGCACTCCTGGTAACATGTTACTTTCGGCTGTTGAGAATGTTGTGTACAATTGGGTTGCAATACATGATCCATGAAGAGGATGGTCACATTGTATGAGGTCTATGCCCTAGCTGAGGAAGTGCTTTTGTTAAATAAAGTGCTATGGTGCACTGAAATGTCATATCTGTAACCCTTTTGGGCAGTTCATTTGCTACATTAAATAAATGTTGCCCTGAAATTTCTTCTTTGTTAGTGATTTGTTGTCAGATGTGTTCAGCTGATTTTCTTTTATTTGTTCTCAGCTGTGTAGACTAGAACAGCACCACATTTCCCTTTATTGCAACTTATTATTTTTTTTTTTAAAGCATATACGTAAGATTTCATCATAACATATGTGAGTACATTAAATAAGTTTTAAGCCTAACATGCTTGTTCAAGAACAATCTTTAAAATTACTTTCTCAGTTTTCTACATAGCTTCCCTTGGCTTCAATGTATGTACTAAAATAATCTATTAAACAACAGATTACATCAGAAAAAAAAATTGTCAGAGCCTTCAGATGATTTTTGAATGGAATTCTTCAAATTATTATCATTGTAATATGAAACACACAAATGCTAATTCGGTTTTTGAAACAAAAAGAAATCACTTTGGCTTAGGTCTGTGTATAGTGGATGGAACAGAAGGGCTGAAATTTACATTACTAAATAGAAGTTTAGAAAATCTGAGCCCTATCTATTGAAGTATTGTTGTGCAACATTTATTTGCTAGGTTTATCATGCTGTTTTATTTTTATTACCTGGTAAACTTGATTCAACAGGTTATAATAAACACTCTTATTATGGTATTATGTGGAATATAATCAGTA